CCATGATTTCAAGAAAATAATGGATAGTGGTTCTGAGAGTTCTTCAGCCATTTCTTTCAGTACTCTCGGATGCAGTTCATCCGGCCCTATAGATTTTAACTCGTTCAAGGTGGTAAGGTATTCTTTGACTATTTGTTTATTAATCTTCAGCTGCAATCCTGCCCCCCCCCCCATTGCACTTCCAATTTGTTTGGAACTTCATAGTCTGTCTTATGGGAAAAGACGACGGAACTAAAATAGGAATTGAGCACCTCTGCCTTTTTTTCTTTTTCTTTTTTCTTCTTTTTTTGTCATTTGTTATCATTTTTCCATCTCCATTGTGCCACTATGTCTTTTGTTTGTCTTTTGCTACTCACATATCTGAAGAATACTTTTTATTGCTTTTACTATCCCTAGCTAACCTGAGCTCATTCTCAGCTTTTGCCCTCATAATGCCTTCCCTGCATTTCCTTGCTACTTGTCTGTACTCATCCTTCCAAACTGAAGTGGGAATAAAAGTTTGGAGAAAAAACTGCTATAGAGGCTGAAATAAACAGGGGGTGTTATTTCAGATATTTATTTTATCCCATACATGTAACATCCCACCTTTCTTCTAATCATGAAACTGAAGGTGGAATGTATGAAGTTCCAAAGATATTTCCCATCTGGCAATAGACTAACCTTGGATGACCCAGGTGTTCTCGGACTGCAATTCCCAGAAGCTTTCACCCCTAGCTGGCCTGGCTGGAGTTTCTGGGAACTGCAGTCCAAGAACACTTGGGTTATCCAAGGTTGGGAACCACTGTCCTAGAGAACTGCTGCAAAAGAATTTGTCTGTGTGTCCGTGGTCACACCAGTGAAATGTTCTCCTGTGGTTATGTGACTTTTAATTGCATTCCTGCCATGCTTTGAGGCCACGTGGTATTTATTCCAGGATGTGTGTCCCAATGTATTTTTGGGTTACTAAGTCATTTCTTTCTAATTCAGTAAGTGCCTAGAACCTCTGGTTGAGACTGTTTGACAGAAGTTAACCGACGCAGCGACACAAACACCACATAATTCTTTTTTTAAAAAAATGAAAAGCATTTTATAAGGACATGAACAGTGACAGTAGTTCAAAAACATTGTGCTAAGATAATTCACACACACAGCAATGTAACATTTTTTAAAAAGATCTGCAATAATAAAAAAGTAGAAGCCTCTGGTCGAGTGAAAAATGGTGCAGTTACCACGCTCGCTCGGTAAATGATTCACTAATGGTCGTGCGTCATGTGACTGCAAATTTAAATTACAAAATCAAAGGGGGAAATGGGAAAAGATTTCATTGGTGTGATCATGGCCTATGTTAATGCTATGCAATCTGCACCTTAGCCTCAGCCTATATGTAACATAAATATACAACTATTTCTCATGAATGCAGGACTTCACTATCGTAATTCAGCACCAGCAGTAACTGTGGGTGGGCATATTACAATCCAGATATAGATTTTCTGGTGCTCAGAATCTCTGGGAAAGCAGGTGCTGCAGCAAAAAGCATCAGATTGCTAGAACTCAGGCTTCTACTGATGCAAGACATACAACACAGAAATGAGAGTGTAGGCATTAAAGCATGCCCAGATGATTCAGAAGTTTCACACCACTTTACAAGTCAAGGAATAATATGGTACATCCCAGTTTCCCCTCCTAGCAGAAGGCGCAGAGACCACAGAACACAAAATGGCACAAAGTTTAGTAGGGAAGTTTATGACTGGAAGTCCTAGCCCAATGGTTCTGAACCTTGGGTCCCCAGACGCTCTTGGATTAAGACTCCCAGAAACCTTCACTTCCAGCTGTGCTGGCCAGGATTTCTGAGAGTTGCATTCCAAGAACATTTGGAGACCCAGGTTTGAGAAGAACTGTCCTATGCAACAGAGATGGGATTTGGGATGCAGTTGAAGTTTGTTGTTCACTTGCCAACTCACAGACAAAAACAGCGTTTGAAAGGAAGAAATAACAAGTGTGGAAAGAGGCACCGCTGGCCAATCTGTTGGATGTGTGGGTGGGTGACAATATGCAATCATTTCTCCCACAAAAAAAATGTTTTCCAGCAGAAAATATCAGTTAGTGACCAGGATCCATCTACTCTTCCGCCCACCAGGGTCTGGTCTCTGGGTGCCTGTATGAATTTCGTTGTATGGGTATACCAGGTATATACTTACAATGACAATAAATTCAACTATTAAATATTAACTATTAACTTAAGTGTAAAAAAATTCAGAAAAAATTCAGAATCTAACCATGGGATATCAGTACAAATATAAATCCCTTAATAAGGAACATGGTTCAATAAACAACAATATTGAGTATTATCTAGAAGCCAGCTCACAAAACATTTTGAAATAATTCATAGCCTTCCCAAACGTGGTGTCCTCCCATACAGTACATTTGCAACCAACTCTTTTCAGCCCCAGGCAGTGCAATCTATAGTCAGAAATCCTTGGAACTGAAGCTCAAAATTTCTAGAGCCCCTTCGGTTGGTGAAAGTTGTGGTGTGAACAGCAATAATACACAGACTGATAGAAGGCTGTTATATTCGTCTGAGAAATTCTAGACAATCACCCCAGTGGCGTCTTTATTAGACCTAGAGTTCCCAACAGTATAACTTGTATTTAATGCATTGGTATTTTATAGTGGAAGTCAGCCATTTGTTTCCTCTTAGTAACATTTCAGTCCCAACAACCCGACATCAATTCCGTGAATGTCCCACAGCTTGGTGAACACTGAATAGAAACCTCCGTGTGACTAGACCAACCCTTCTAAGGTGTGAGGACATCTGGCTAACTTATTTCAAAGGGATCTTACTTTATAATCTTACTGTTGCAGGGAAATCAACAGTCTTAAAAAAGAAATGTTTATTTAAGCTTAAGTGTTCATTAAATTCAACTGGAATTGTTAGCAGTCACATCTGGATGTTGACACCAGTGGAAGACAAAGATGAAAACCAACTGCCTTTACTTATCGCTGGAAGCCAAGCCTGTCCAAGTTTCAAGCTTTTACAGATTTCAACTGGTTCTTTCAAAGGGTCTCTCAACAGCATAGATAAGTCACCCCCTTCACTATCTGTTACAAAAGCCACGTTGTTTTCCACTGTTGGTAGCACTCTGTCCATTCATGAACCAACCTTGAAACACATGAAGTTCTCTTCTAAAACTGAGTTACAACCTTGAAGCATGGCTAATTGGTATAACGAAGTACACTAAGCTTTTGTGCTCAAAGTGCATATTTCAGATATAAAATAGGACTGAAAGGGACAACATGGAAATATGACTTTTTTTAAAAACAGAAATCAAACGAGAGAGGCCAGTTAAGAAAATGTACATTTGAAAGACTTTGTCTGCAGTATACTTATACATGCATAAAGTATCATCTTTGGCAATTATACAGAGCGACAGACTGACAGACAGACAAATGTGTGTAAAACTGTAACCAACAGTGCCAGATGGCAAAAAGGATATCTAAGCAACTGGATTCTAGTCCTTAGAAGCTTCTACTGTAATAATGCAGGTGTCAGAAGAGCTCAGCACCACCACTCCCAATGCAACAGCTTTGGTATATCAATCTCTCTGGAGATGGTCTTTGTGATGAGACACTTGAGTTCTTAGTGGGGGAGCACCCAAGACAGAGAAGGGAAAACCTCCATACAACACACTTAAAAAGGAAGGGCATCAAAAATTAGAAACAATAATGGTCCATCAGTGAAATTAAGCATGACCGAATTTTATCAGCACTAGTTCCCTCTAGCAAATTTATTAACAGAACCAAAATCTTTTCTCTCTCCTTTCCTTCTAAAAGAATACCTTTAAGAAAAAGCACGAGAGAGAAAGGCAATGCTGTCTTATTTCTGAAAGTAAACTATCGGAGTGCAGTTCACGAGGGTCACCTCTCAGTTTACAGCGTCAGTGTGCACACGGGGGTGACCGAGACGGATGCAGTGTATTTCAAGTGTGGATATGTAGATGTTGGATTTACCTGAGAGTACACCCTTAATCTGTGCAAAACAGCTCTTACTGCAAAAGCAATTTTCCCAGTGCACTAGTATCATTAATGTGCTAGATTATATTAGGCTGCAAGATCACCACCATGATCGCTGCACACCAGAGTTAGCAAGCCAGCTATATTTAGCATGCTGTTTTACTACTCACTCACTGCTCCTTTCCCTTTCAATGAAAAAAAGAAAAGAAAGAAATAGAAATCAGCCTTATGCTAACAAAGAAAATACAAATTACGGAAAGCTATGCACAAAGCCTCCAGAAACAATTTAACCTACCTACCTACCTACCTACCTAAATAAATAAATAAATAAACAAATAAATAAATAAATAAATAAATAATCCACCCACCTTTTAAAAGAGGCTGAGCTTCCAAGGTTACAAAGTCAAACTGCATGCAAGAAAACACACCTATACACACAACTGCCTAAAACAAAAGCATGGAAAGCACAACAGAAAACTGGAGTAGCTTTAAAAGCTCATCTATTAAAGATGGGCACCGTGTCTGTACAAAAAAAAAATCAAGTTGAACGATCAAGTTTCTTTTTAAAAAGGGGGATGGGTGGGAAACACCAGGTAATACAAAAAGAAATGGAAGGTGAAGATCGGAGTCTCACTCACCGAAATCTGACTGCAAATCCTTTTTCAGCCCACAAAGCATGTCTGCTATTATCTATCAAAGCATTCAGCTTAAATTGCAAAAGGCACTCCTCTTTCTCCGGCTCTGCCTTGGCTGGCACTGGAATCACATTACAGCAAGTCTCGCTCTCAGGCCGTCTCCCACTAGAGAGCAGGATTACACCGCATGGACGATCCACTCCTCCACTTAAAGGGAACAAAGTCCTATTGACTCCACCGGATCGACACTCAACAAATGCCACACTTCGTAAAAGAAAAGGAAAAGCTCCGTTTGCTGATTGCGAAGGCTCAGAAGGCTTCGAACAAGACAGAAGTGTTTTTTTTAAAAAAGGTACAGGGGATAAAGCCAACTGATTCTTTTTAAGGAATCATCCAGCGATCGCTCTGTCCAACTGACTGGCTGCGAAGCTGTAGAATGAACTCGGATTTCTGAGCACAGAAAGGACCGCTGGTTTGAGGGAAAGCAGCAGGAGAAAGGATCGGAGGCACCGAGGCACTGGCCTGCCCAGCCACTGCAAAGCGGACCCTTCGCAGCCCGGCTCTATTCCAACTTAGCCCACGCTGGGCGAGAGCAGCCATCATCCTACATGGGTGGTATGCTCATCTTTCAGGCTGAGCCTTTTGTTGCTCCCCGCCCTTCGCCCGGGAAATTCAGAACAATCGCCCAGAAGGCTGCTTTGAAATCTTCTGGCTTAGAGCCAGACAACCGAAAGGCTCCTTTCCTTTGCTCAAACTAGCAGCGCAAGTTCAAACGCAGCCAAAGGCTTTGAGAGAGAGAGAGAGAAAGCGCCGAAGTTGCAGGGCAGCAACATCTCAGAGCGCAAGAGGAGGCGACGGCCAAAGCGCCGCAGTATGCGCTCAAGACTCTTGACTCTCACCCCCACCGCTGCCCGCCCCCTTTGTCAACGGACGGCACGGCCTCCAGCACCTTTCAAGGCAATGTCAAGCCGCCGCCGCTGGAGCAGCCTGCCTCCACCTCTCGAGGCAGCGCCGGGGCATCCGGCAGCAGTCCTGCAGCCTGCGACACCACAGCGGTGGGAAGTCCCCAGCCCTACATGCCTACACAAAGTGTACAGGCTGTGGGAATCCGACGCTTAGATTTGACTTTCCCCTTGTCAGGTTTCAAACACAAAAGCACTGAATCTATCGGTTAAAGAGCTGGCTAGTTAGCTCCGAGAATAGGACAGGAGTTCGGTTCTCCATTGTGTCTCCCAGGAGGAAAAACTGCACCTGGAGCAGCAAGTGTTGGTTCAGGTGCGTAGTCCCAGGAAACCCCCCAGAAAGGGCCACTTCTGAGTACTTTATACAAAAACACCCTGGAAAAGGTCACCATAATTGCATTCAACATGATGGGACATAACGGTCATTATCCCTTAAATCAGTGGTTCTTAACCTTGGGTTACTCAGATGTTTTTGAACTGCAACTCCCAGAAACCCCGGCCAGCACAGCTGGTGGTGAAGGCTTCTGGGAGCTGCAGTCCAAAAACACCTGAGTAACCCAAAGTTAAGAACCACTGGCTTAAATACAGAGAAGGAAAAGGATAAGGGCTGCTTACACCATGTTGGACGCCAGCTGCCATCGGAAAGGAACTGCGTTGAACCGAGATGAAGAGGTACCCTTGAAGTATCAACTATGCACGAACTTTGTGGCACACTTGCCTATTTGAGCCGTGTCACCCTAGCCAATATTTGTCACTTTCAGGTAATGTAACTTAAATATGTGCAAACAACTCCACCCAAAGTAATCTAATTTTAAGGCTGTGCACAGTGTTTGCGTCCTTCCCTTAAAATGCCACTTTGGGTTTAAGTTCTCCAATGTCATGGACACAAAGAAAGTGCAATATAACACATATTCTGCCGGCCTTCCTACAGTCTAAGAAAAGTTTCCTCAACAGCCCACCTTGAATTTGGATGAGCAATCTGCCAAAGAAGAGGACAGTGGTGGCTACTGGCCTCACCATGATCATCAGTGCCATTAACATTTTAGCTTGAATCTTTATGTTCCCGTTGGCAGGGTTCATAGGAAGCAGATTCTGAAATCCCTAAGTACCCATCGATCACATTCCAACAGACCTTGAAGGGAGTGTGGCAAAGCATGCGGAAGAGATTGCAGTGCTAAGGGATGGCAGAGACAACCAAGCAGCCCAAAGAACCAGTATCTGTGACTCCATCCTCCCAAGCTTCATTGCCTTATCTGACCAGCACTGACACTTTTTACATTGAAATCATGGCAAAGCCAAGTGCAGTCTTTAATTCTTTCCCCCTCAAGGAAAAAGGATATAAACATCTCTTGAGTTTGGTTAGATTGCATTATGTGACAAACTACAGCTTCCTTTAGGACAGTAATGAGGGGGGGGGGGAGGGGGAGACGAAGGCTCAGAAAACAGCAACTGGGTGAAACTACTCATCTTAATTCTGCATTTCAACCAGATAGGGAATATCCAGAGCAACACTCTTGCCCTTTCCTATCCTGGGGCTCATCTTCAAAACAATTCCTCTCACAGAATTGCAAGATTCAGTTTTTAACAAATTTCCTTGTCTTCCTAGCACCAATTTGCCTGGACATGTATTAAGGAATTAGATGCAGTGTGCTAAAAATACATTTGGAGAGGGCAAGTGAAAAGAGATCATGAAGTAGCTTGGTTATACGACTCAAAAGTAACTAGGTTGAGCTTCACCTCTTTAAAAAAAAATTAGCAAAAAGTATCTCTGGTGATTGGGTGCGTGGATCTAGCTGTACAGACTTAACATTATTTAAAGGAGAAGACTTTGAAAGTGAAAGAAATGATCAGGATCATGGCCAGGAAAGAGCAGCAGCAGATTTTTGCCATGACCTGGCATGGAAAATTCTCTCTGTGTAAACTGCAGTAACAAAAAAAGTGGCTTGCTGACCAAGAGCATATGTGATAACAGATCTAAAGATAGACTTCATATCACTTTCCATCCAATACTGGTAAAAGAAAAATAGCCACACTGCAGTTACCCATGCAAATAGACAGTGCATGTTCCAGAGTCCTATGGGGTGTGTGTCTTTAAATGGCTTCATTTGATGAAGCCATCTGGCGAGCTATCCACTCATGAAGGCCCTCCAGATAATTCAGGCTCTTAATTTTTTGCCTATGAAATCCTTTCTTTCCCTCTGTGATCCCATGTAGTGATGAGATACTGATCATCATAAAGGGGTCAACATCCATTTGCAACATCTACCTCATGAACCAATTTCAAGAGACCTTCCCATGAGGAGCACAAAATATTTGCCAGCTGTAATGCATAAAGAAAAAAAATTGAATTTGATCATATAAACAGATAACTATGGTACTAAAATTTATGCAATTTATGCACAGTAACCTACCTCGGGACAAAATCACTTGCTTCAGGTTCAAGTGCCATGAGTAAAAAGCTTATGGTACCAAAGAAAAAATAAAAAGCACACACCAACACAAACATGTAGTGCAATTTTACTCTATATCTTTTATTTGGGGGAGGTGGTGCCACAGTTGTCTGTTGGTAGTTGTAATCAGCATCAGAGCTCAATTTGCAATTAAAGTCCCTTCATTACACAGCCTTCTACAAGAACCACCACTGTCTGAACATCGGACGTTTTTTAGAGAATGAATAGATTTAGAAACTGTTAATTTGGGAGGCTAGTTACAAATGACAATGGAATAAATTGGCATCATTAGTGGACTCCTTTTTCATCTTGGTCCCCTTTCTAAGAAATCTGACAATAAGGAATTTGAATGCTCGGCCATCTTCACAATTGATTGGACAAAAGGAACCCAAATAGCCACAAAGACTGAACAGAAGCCGTACAACATTGAGGATTCCATTTTCCATTCTACTCACTACTTATTACTCTTAATTTGGCTTCAGCTGACTACACTTGCCCAGCATGTTGCCTAATTTTAACATACTACCTGTAGCAAGATTAGGTTGTTAGCTAATTAAGCTGAGAAACTTACCTTATACTATCCACAGACACAGTTAGGCAACATGTTACACCACACAATGCAGTCGTAATGAGGGAATGTACTACAAGTTGACACTATGGACTCTGAGACCTAAGTACCACATCAAGGGCCTCTGTATCATGCCCAATCTCAGGTCCTTGTTCTACTCCATAAACCAGAAACAACTCTGTTTGAGGTTGTGCAGTCATAAGAGGAAGTTCAGGAAAATGTACTCAGATAATCATCCAGGAATGTGGCTGAAATTTCTGGATTTATAATAAATATGAGAAAACCTTTCATTCAGAATCAGATGCCTGGTGCAGAAAGACACAAGGCTTCTCCATGCATCCTGCCATAAAGACAGGATTCCTCTAGACACCCTTAAAAGCTAATTCATCATCAATAATTGACAATACAAGATAAATGGACCTTTCCAACAAGCAATTATAACCCTTACTTCAAAGACAGAAGCTGCCAGAACACAAAAAGAGAAAAGTATGTTGTTGTGGACTCTTTTTCCTAGAGCTTTCCTCATTACCATTCTGTTTTCTTCAGAAATGAAATCCAATGAGAATTGCCATACACCTTTGGCTACAGAATGTTTTAGCAACTACCGCATCCATCTTTGGCCTAAATTAACAGCAACACAGCCAATGTCTATAGCTAGACAGATTTAAAAAAAACCAGATAGTCAGGGATACCATATAGGAGAGGACTGTGATTAATAGGAAGGGAAGAATGCCAGAGTGACCCTTCATCTGACACCAGCTTCTTTGAAGCTCCAGGATTATGCATTTCACATGCACAGCAGCCATTCCTAATCAGCATGGAATGCATGCCAAGATAACGGGCCAATATTCATTATCAAGATGTACAGTAGAGCAAGTGGGAGATTAGACTTTTTTTCAAGGCATCACAAGACCTGAAATAGTTAAGAATCTTCACGAAGGACATGAGAGAGACTGTCACCATCATGTACCAGAGGATTTTTTCCCCTTGCAAAATTGCTTCCAAAGCAATTTTGCAAGTGTTGTGAAACTGAGGACAAGAACAGGGAAATGAGTAAATCTTCAAACACAGAGACATATAAATATTGTAGGCTGCGTCCCCCATGAGTGGTATAGAATTAGGTTGACAGAGACACCTTGCATAGAACACATCATTCACAGTATAAAAGTTGGCTATGAAAAGTGGGGCTCTTTTTCTGTCTCCCAATTTGGTTCAGAGACCAATATGAGAATTTGGAATGGATCTCAACACAGTCCCAGAGTGATCTGTACTCAGTCTGGTTCAATTTGTGCACTAGACTCAAGACAATTTGGAAGCCTCCTACAGGCTTGCATTGGGGAATCAAAATGGTTACAGCTG